GTAAGTCCGCGGTTTTTGGTACTAACACTTCAAAATTTTCATTGAAGTTGTATTTTAATACATCTTACCAAAAGCTGTGAAAAGCGCAGTTTCGAAAAGTGTTGCTTAGGGCCTTTCTGAATTAATAGGTGAATATTTCATATTCATTCATTTAAATAATCATATGTATGTACATTAAAGTATGATATGGGCACCGGACTTCTGGGTAGTATTTCATATTACAATAATAATTAACGTTCCTTTTTATTTAAAATTTCCGTATGTACGTGCATACTTATGTAAGTATGTATCTTCGCATGTAAGGATGTAAGTATCTTTGAAGCAGCATAAGTGTATACACATACTATTTAACACAAAAAAATTAGATATACCTCAGCTTTCGAAATACTCGCAGGATTAACTTATTTGCAAATAATTTTTTCACAACAGATTTACTTATCTTTTATTTACATTGCTGATGCTTGATGCTCTGGGATTAACACAAAACACTTCACATACACACACTATGCACTTTGCACACAGAAATACATACATTAAATTTCTTTTAAGACCCCATTTTGCTCAATTTTATTAAAATTCTGCAGAGATTCACACAAACTGAGAAAGAAGCTTCCGTTCGCAATTTCTATTTTCAACTGTCAAACTTTTGGCGGAAAAGGAAGCAATTTAGCGCGAAAAAACAGAGGTCGTCAAACTGTTGTATGAAAGGAGTTAATTTGGTCACTAACCGATTTCGGTAGTAGTGTTGCCACGTACACATTCTTTTACCTACCAAAAGTTCTACCAAAACCAACCAAAATTTTATCGAGTTTTTAATTTTATTCAATTTGGAGTTTATTAAAAATGTAGGTAACATAGCATTTAATAAAAATATCTACCAAATGTAAAAAACCACCAGTTTTGGTAAGAAAAACGTAGTTCTGTCAACACTGTCCGATAGTGCATTTTGACCCCAAACAAAATTTGACAGCCATTGTAATCATACCAATGACAGGTCGTTTTGACATTTGATTTTTCTTCCTCCACTTCGTCCATATTTCTTGAAGATTTCTTTCAACTTTTCGTTTCTGCAAAAAGCGCGAGCGAAAAACGCATTTCCACGAGACGCAGTGCTAATTAAATATTTTTATTTTTCAACAAATTGTACATACGAACATATTTATTAAATAATATATTTGTGGTTGAGTTGTGTAGTTGCCGGAGTGTTTGGAGTTGGAGCCAGAAGACGGACGCCTGATTGGTTTGAATAGCGCCATCTCGGCCATCGGCCATATACATTCTGTGTTGCCTGCAGGCTTGCTTGACTTCTTCGCTGCTGCCTACCTAGCTGCTTACCCGTGTTCCCGTATTCCCGTAACTGTGTGTCTGTGGGTGCTTCGTTCGTCACTTCCATTCGCATTTTAT